TGCAAACTCACCTGTTGTCTGGTTAACTATTAGTTGTGAATCACAAAAAACTATTACCTCATCTGCTTGCACTGTTGCTGCCAACTTCAGTCCTGCAAGGAGTGCTTCATACTCTGCTTCATTGTTTGAGGCCTTGAACCCCAAACGAATTGACTGTTCTAGTACCTGCCCATCTGGGGATATCAATACTACTCCTGCCCCTGCTCCTTGTCGGTTTGAACTCCCATCAACAAACAGTCGAAAGGAGTCGCCGATGTAAATGCTGCAGGGTTTAAGTTTGTCCTCTTTCCTTTATTCTTTTGCCTTTGGCTGTGCTTCTCCTTCCTTGGTTGGACATCGCTCATCCGGGCTCAACGGAGCCCGATGTTCGATGGACTCTGGTGTGAACTCGGCCACGAAGTCGGCCAGAACTTGGCCTTTGATTGCTGTCCTTGGCCTGTACTCCAGGTCATACTGGCCTAGGGTGACTGCCCATCTGGCTATTCTTCCTGTCAGGTCTCCTTGTTGCAGTAAGGACTTCCAGGGGTGCTCTGTTAGCACCACAATTTTATGGGCCTAGAAGTAATGGTTCAACTTTTTTGAAGCCATTACTAAAGCTAGTGCCAACTTCTCTAAGGGCAGATACCTCGTTTCTGCATCGGCTAGGGTTTTGCTTACATAGTAAACAGCCCTTTACTCCCCTTTTTCTTCTCGGATTAGTACTGCACTTATCGCATGTTCTGAAACGGCTAAGTACAGAAACAGCTCCTCTCCAGATTCTGGATTTGAAAGAACTGGAGCTGTGGTCAAGTACCTCTTTAGGTCGGCCAAAGCGGCTTCACATTCTTCTGTCCACAAGAAGTCTGTGGCTTTCTTCACCAAGTTGAAGAAAGGTCTGCATTTATCTGATCTTCTGCTGATGAATCTATTTAGGGCTGCGGCCCTTCCAGTTAGCATCTGCACTTGTTTTGCCGACGTCGGGATCTTCAACTCTAGGATGGCCTTGATTTGATCTAGGCTGGCCTCGATGCCCCTTCTAGTCACCAGGTATCCTAAAAACTTACCAGATCTAACTCCAAATGCACACGTTGATGCATTGAGTCGGAGCCGATATGTTTTAAGGATTTCAAAGACTGTTTTTAGATCAGAAAGATGACCCTCAGGCTCCTTGGTCTTAACGACCATGTCGTCGATGTAGACTTCTACTGTTCGGCCAATCAGGTGCTTGAACATTTTGGTTACCAGCCTTTGGTAAGTTGCTCCTGCATTTTTCAACCCGAAAGGCATTATTCTGTAACAGTACAAGCCTTTTGGGGTGATAAACGCTGTCTTCTCTTCGTCTGGGGGGTACATGGCTATCTGGTGGTACCCCCTGTAGGCATCTAGGAAGCGCATTCTTCCATGCCCTGAAGTGGCATCTACTAGCTGGTCAATCTTGGGTAGAGGAAAGCTGTTTTTGGGACAGGCTTTGTTGAGGCTGGTGAAGTCTATGCAGACCCTCCATTTACCGTTCTTCTTCTTTACCACCACTGTATTGGATAGCCATATTGGGTAGTGTACTTCTCTAATGGCCCTGGCCTCCAGAAGTCTGTCTACTTCTTCTTCTACTGCTTCGACATGCATCAACGTCGGTCTTCTGGCTCGTTGAATTATAGGTTTGGCCGACCTGTCAACATTTAGTTTGTGGCACGTGACCTCGGGGTCAATGCTAGGCATTTCGTAAGGTGTCCAAGCGAACACTTCAATATTTTCTCTTAAAAAAGTTTTCAACTCTTTTTCCTCTTCTTCGGCTAAGCCCGAGCCGAGAAAAAAGAAGCATTTTTCATCCCCATCCTGGACGAGGATTTTCCTTAGTGCCTCTTCACTCTTCTCGACTGGCTCTTTGCCGACGTCTTCTAGGACTTTCACGTCCTCATCTTCAATTTCTGCTTTCTCTGGCTCTCGTACGCTGTAGGTACATTTCATTGCTACCATGGAGCAATTCTTCGCCTGCAGCTGATCACCTCTGATTTCCTCTATCCCATGCTTTGTTGGGAATCGCAATAGTTGATGCAATGTTGAGGGAACTGCCCCCATTGCATGCAACCATGGCCTTCCCAAGATGATGTTGTAAGGGGAGGGTGTGTCGATGATGGTGAATTCTGTCTTGATTTTCCTGGTGCCAGCCTGCACCTCCAAGCTTACTGCTCCTAGAGGCCATGTCGGCGTTCCATTGAACCCAACCATTGGGCCATTGGACCATTCCATATCATCTGGGTGAAGATCGAGCTCTTTGTAACATCGGACGTACATGATGTCGCAAGAGCTGCCTTGATCAATCAGGATGCGTTTCACTTGGTACTCCCCAACTTGGAGGGATACTACCAAGGCATCATTATGCGGATGCAGGACCATCTCTAGGTCGGCTTCAGTAAAGGTTATCATTGGTCCTTGGCATTCTTTTGCCCGATGTCTTTTCTCCCCGACTTGGTAGACATGTTGCAGGTGCTTCGCTTTCTGGGTTTCTCCTCGGATTTCGTTTTCGTTGACCTTCGAGTGGATTACGTTGATTATTCGAGGTCCTCCTGCTTGCGGCTGTTGTACTGAAGGAGGTGGGGCTGCTGGTGCCTAAGGCAATCTTACCCGTTCTTCCCTTGTCCGAGTCTCATCGACAAGGTCTCTCAGATGTCCTTGTCTCACTAGATCTTCCAAATATGTTTTTAGGGCTCTACAACCCTGAGTTGTATGCCCATCTTCAGTATGGTAGGCACAATGCCTGCCAATGTTTCTTCCCATGAACTCTCTTGGAGTCCTTTCTAGCGTTCTGAAATAGGGCTGGTTCCGAATTTGATCCAGGACTTTAGGAATTGGGATTCGGAACACAGTTGTTACCACTTGTGTGGCCCTCAGTTCTGCTTCTTGCTTGTTCGTTCCATTGTTACCTCAGCCTCGCTTCGGCGAGCCGTTTTCTTTCTCTTATTTTATCTCCCTGGTTCCTGATGTGTCTTCTTCGACTCTGGCGTACTTCTCGATTCTTGCCATGAGCTCCTCCATACTTTTCGGCAATGTCTTTGCCAAAGACTTTCGAAGTGGACAGTTGTCTTTCAAGTCGTTCTTGAAAGATACGACTGCCACCTCTTGATTACATTCGGGTATTCGATTGAATACCTCATAGTATCTTTTTGCATAGGCCCTAAGGCCTTCGTCCTTGCTGATCTTCAGAGCCATCAATGCGTCCACCCTTAATGGCTGCATCTTGTTTGTCACAAACTTGGCCGCAAACATCTCGGCCAGGCCTTCCCAAGTCTTCACGCTTTCCTTCGGTAGTTTGTGGAACCAATCTGATGCAATCTCTCCAAAGGATGAGGGGAACACTTTGCAGAGCAACGACTCGTTTCCACTATACAATGCCATTGAGTTCAAATATAGTCCAACGTGGAAGTTGGGGTCTGACTTTCCATCGTATATTTGAAACCTCGGCATACTGAATCTCTTCGGCGCCTCAAACTTGTCTAATTCCACCGAGAATGGTGTCCTCAGCTTATCTGGGGAGGTTACCTCGGCGTAGGCATTCTGTTGCTTCCTTTTGAGGTAATCTCTTAAGTCTTCTTTGCTCCATCCAGGAGCTCGGCTATCTTTCGACTTCAGTCTTTTCGGTATACTACTCTCGGCCTCGTGGTGAGCTCTTTTCGACCCTTCTCCATAGGTTGTATCGAAGCACAGTGCCTGCCCCTGAACATGTCGATGTCCTTTGGGGTCTGCCTCTTTTGTGCGATGCGTCTTCCGTGATCCTTCTCTTCTTGATTCTTTTCGTCCGTCCTCCCTAGACGGTCAGTGAGAGTATCTTTTGTCTCCGTTGTGCTGAGGGGCTACGGGGATTGTTTTCTGTTCTCCCTTTTGGGTATTGGCCGCTGGAATCGGCTTGTCATGCAGGGGGTATGGTGGCTGCATGACATTATTTTGCATCATGAAATTGACGACCGACTGCAGGTCTGCCAATTTGTTTGCCATCTCTTTTACCTCTTCGTGCCTCCGTAGGTACCTATCCTTCCAAACCTAGAGGTCGTCTTCATTGTAGTACCTGCTTTGATCAGGTTTCTTTGGTGCGTCGCTAGTCTGGCCGACATCTTGCGCTCTGTGATTTTGTTCATGAGTTTCTGCGTTCGACCTTTCTCCTTTGCCACCAAGGTCAATAGGTCTTCCACTCCCAGTAGGAGTGTCGTCCCCAATCTTTTCTTTCTGTCCACTACTAGCCATCTATTCTACTTTCGTTCCCACAGACGGCGCCAAATTGTGTGAGTGATTTTCTGACCACACTGCCCGCTTAGTAACCAGCTGGAGAGCACCGGTAGAATAGATGGCACCTGGCTGACCTGCAACAGAAAGAGAAGATTCCGACGGTGGTTTCGACCACCCGGGGGCACTCCGACGATCAAGTCAGTATATCTCTCAAAGATAAATCAAGTGCTAAACTCAATGCTCAAAGCATAAAATTGCGTACCTTAGACCCACGGGGGTGCCTCTCTTTTATAGTTACCTCAATCCTAATCCCAATAAAAGCCTGACTTCTATAGATTCTTGTTTAGTACTTACTTTGGACTCCTTCATAGATAAAGATAAACTCCCTAAGAGTTTTATCCTTATCTTGGCTAAGTCTTCTCTTTATTCTAGGACTCTTGTCCTTTATCCCTTATCTGCTTATCTCGGATTCCGATATCTTCGGAGATAACCTCGGCTTGACCGAGATCACCTCGGCGTCATGACCCTGACACGTGGTACCTCGGCTGACACGTCGGCGTCACCTTGCCACGTGTCGGTACTCAAAAATATATCCCCACAATTACTGTGTTAGTAGTTTTTTGTAAGAACATCCAGACAGTGACAATCTAACTTATTAATCCCTAACATTTTATATGATATGACAAAAAATAAATAAAAATTATTGTGTTAGTGTTCACCCTAATTGATAAAAAAGAAAAAGGAAAAGAAAAAAAGAGTTGTGTTTGAATGTCTTGTTAATCAGTAGTTTCTTGGTTGCCAAGCTAAAACCAAAATGGTCTCCCCCATGGACTGTCTATATATAGATATATATCTCCTCTTCTTTCTAGTTCACTGACCACACTAGTCTCTACAACTCTCTCTCGCTCTCGCTTAAGTAGTTAAATTGAATCACTCGATCCAGAGAGATGGAAAATGGGTTGGCGGAGAGATGGGGTTTCCGGGGAAGCGAATTGGTGAACAAGGCTTCGGCGATCAGCATTAGAAGTGTTCTGAACGAGGTCATGCAAAACATGGATGAAGAAGACCTACGCCCAACCATCCCTCTCGGCCACGGCGACCCCTCTGCCTTCCCCTCCTTCCGCACCACCCCCATTGCCGAGGACGCCGTCTCCGATGCCCTCCGCTCCGCCAAATTCAATGGTTATGCCCCTACCGTCGGTATTCTTCCCGCTAGAAGGTATACTTATTTATAGTCTGTTTGGAGAGATAATAAAAGATGATAAGATCTGTTTATTATATTTGATTTGTAAGTTGGGTCATAAATGATAAAAAATGGAGGAAAGCCATTACAATTCTATGTAATGGTAATACCAATGAGGATATTGTGGAGGATCGACTCTATTTTTGACGTAGAGTACAACTAGTGCCTTGTCATATATATATATATATATAAGCAATGGTTGGTAACCCGAAAATACATTACTCGAAACACTCAAAATAACGTCGTTTTAACATATTTGGACCATTTGAATCACAGAATTTGTGGCCATTAAACATTTTTCATATATACATATGGACGGTAAAAAATAAGAAATAATTAGATTGTAATATCAATATGTATTGAAGTTTAGTTTTTCAATTTTAGGTTTCACTTTTCACTAGAATAGTGAGATTTGATGACAAGTGAAGTAATTAATCATCTATCTTTTGTAATACTACTGAAATTACCCATTAAAATATATTGTAAGAAAATGAATCTCACTCGTCTCCTCTGCTTTGTTTAACTCATTCAAGCATCATAGTGCAAAAACACAGTAATTCTTTTCAACCAGCCTAGAAATTACAATATTTTTATTGTTTTCTCAATCTACGATCCAAATGGATGGCTAATGCTCAAATTTTGTCTCCATTATTAACGGTTAGTGCTTAAATATTTCTTCCTTGTTATTTAATGGTTCTTGCTCAAATTTCTTCCTCCTTATTTAACTTGTGTTTGGATTTGTAGATTTTAAATTGAAGACTTTGGCACAAGGAGAATAAGTCAAATTGATAATTTATGTATGGATTTTAAAACTGAATTTAAGAGCTTTGTCATTTGAAATAACAATGTAAAGATTGTTATGGATTTCAAAATTAAATTTGAGAGCTTTGTTATGATGAATTTAAAATAATAATAGATAAATACATTGCTGAAAACTCAAGGGGTTGGCTTAGTGGGTACAATTTGAGACTTGGGATGTGCTCCCTCCAGGTTACAAGTTCAATACTCACAAGCCCTAATAAGTTTCTTGGGGCCAGTCCAAACTGGATATTTGCTCTGGTTTTAAATGGGACCCCGTAAGTGGGTAGTGAGATTGGTTCCTCATAATTAATTGGGGTGCGCATAAACTGGTCTAGACAATCGATTATCAAAAAAAAAAAAAGTACAATGCTGATCGCTTGATAACAAATATGTAGATTCTTTTTTGTGTCACAGACTGAGCCATTTTCTGCCCCATACATTCTGAGCCCTATATTTCACATTTCATTGATCTTGCAACCCTTGTTATGAAATTTTGTTTTCCTGGTAAAGTTGTTGAATTTATGTTTTTTACTCAAGATTGATTAAGATTCCTGTTTTTGTTTAGTACTTTGAACATTTCACTATAAGCTCTAAAGTATTGCACTGATTTGATTGCCTTTTTTATTTTAAGTTGGTTGGAAAACAGTACTTAGAAAATATAAAATTTAATCATCCTATAAAAGAGAAAGAAAAAGATAACAATTGTTCTTAATTCATTGAAGATGTAGTTTATCCAATCAATGTCATTCTTACACCTTCATTTTTAAATAGGGCCATAGCAGAATACCTTTCAGAGGATCTTCCATACAAGTTATCGCCAAACGATATTTATCTGACAATTGGATGCACACAAGCAATCGAAGTTATCTTAACGGTTCTTGCTCGTCCCAATGCCAACATTCTACTTCCGAGACCAGGCTACCCATTCTATGAAGCCCACGCTGCATATAGCAGTCTTGAAGTCCGCCACTTTGATCTTCTTCCAGAGAAAGGCTGGGAGGTAGATCTTGATGCAGTTGAAGCTCTCACAGATGAGAATACTGTTGCCATGGTTATTGTTAACCCTGGAAATCCTTGTGGGAATGTTTTTACTTACCAACATTTAAAGAAGGTGCATATTTTAGTTTTGTGGAGTTGATGTGTACTATGGTAATATCATGGTTTTGGTTATCATGTTGGTGGTTGATTGTCTGATATTGTAGGTTGCTGAGACTGCGAGAAAGCTTGGGATATTAGTGATTTCTGATGAAGTTTATGATCATCTTACTTTTGGGATTAATCCATTTGTGCCTATGGGAGTCTTTGGATCAATTGCACCTGTCATTACTGTTGGCTCTATATCAAAGAGGTGGATTGTTCCTGGTTGGCGACTTGGTTGGCTTGTCACAAATGATCCCAATGGCATTCTTGAAAAATATGGGGTTCTCTCTGCCTCCCTCCATCCCTCTCTCTCTCTCTCTCTCTCTCTCTGTGGTATTTGCAGGTGGACCTTATTTGATTTTCTGGTTGACCGAGTGCAGATCTTTTTCTTCTGGTTTTGATTCCTTAGTTATTCTGTTATTTATAAAACTTCAAGGGTGTATAAATGTCTCATGAAAATGGAAACTGCATTTAAAATAGGATTTGAAGTACAAGTAGCAAATATTTGTATGGTGATAACATCACCATAACTAGTTAATTAGGACTGAAAACTGAAAATAAGACAAATTGACATTAATGAATAAAACAGATGATTCACAAATAAGAAAAATTGACATGAATGAACAGCAATGTAATCATTTGATGATTGATTTATCAATTGCTTCGAAATGTCCAGAATTCCAATTTGTAGTAGTTTTCCGTTAGAGGGAATGTTTCCTCTCTCAAAGGACATTTTGGCTGTTTTTTGGATTTTTGATTCATGAAAGGAAAATAAAAAGAAAGAAAAGGAAAAGAGAAAAAGAAATCAGCTTTTACTTCATTTCTCTTTTCCCTTTCCTTTTCTTTACCCCCGACTAACCCAAGACCCAAATATAGCTTTAAGATGACAAAATTGCTTTTAAAAAATTGGGGTTTACAGAGGTAGTTCCTACAGTTAAAGAAGGGAACAAAATGTGGTTTGTTATTTTAAAATGACTGAGAAAGATGATGAACCACACCTTTTCATGTGATTTTGCCAAAATTCTGTTTTTGCAGCACTCTTGACTGGGATTGTGATCCTCTCCATTGCATATTTGTAATGGAGAGGTTCCATTGTATCATCCAACAGTGAGTGTAATGATTGTTTTAATTTTAATTAATTATAAATTTACATTCTTATTTTATAGCCATTAGATTTGTAATGGAAATCTTCCATTGCATACATGGAATGAAGAGGATCAAACTGTATGTCAAGCCACATGAAACATATTTGATGCATCTTACTGTTGTTTGGTTCATTTAGAATTCACAGTCATTTGGGAAATATACTGTTTTGTTTCTCAAGAAGTTTCTCCCTTTGTTTTCTCCTTTTCAGATTGTTGATTGCATTCATTTAGATCTCACTGAAACTTGGAAATCTACTGCTATAGCCATCGTGTTTCTCAAGAAGTTTCTCTCTTTGTTTTCTCCCTTTCAGATAGTCGATTGCATTAAGGGCTTTCTCAACATTACCTCTGACCCTGCCACATTCGTTCAGGTTTGTAGTTCAAAATGCTTTTATGGAATAACTTGTCGAAATAGAAAAAATAAATTCCAATACATATATTTTTATTTTATTTTATTTTCAAATGCTACAATAATTCATAAGATACAGCTAACAAGTTGTCTCCTCCTGGATTAATGCCGGAGAGCATTCACCAGAAAAAGGTGGAAGAATCAAATATATCTCATTTCAACACAGCAATGCAATGGTTGCGATTCATTTCTTATCATAATATCCAAAGCAAAAATCACTTTTGGTGAACTTGTCACTTTGTTTATTTATTGTTTCCTCCACTGGCCATTGGCCAATATAGAAACAAATTAAAAGATGTCTACATATATCTATACATTTTTTTACTACTTTATTTGCTATTTATATTTTTTTCATTGATCATGGAAAGCAATTTTCAGTCTCCTACATGGTCTTGCAAATCTAATCTGGTCATTCTACTTTAATAATTTTTGTTTATTTATTTTTTTCCTGGAAATATGATTTTTATGGTTTTTGTGTCATCAGGGGGCACTTCCTCAAATTCTTGAGAAAACGAGAGGTGATTTCTTTTCCAAAATTGTTAATCTACTGAGAGAAGCTGCAGATGTTTGCTATAATAGACTTAGGGAAATCCCTTGCATTACTTGCCCAAGCAAACCTGAAGGATCTATGTTTGTAATGGTAAGGATGTAAAATAATTTGAAATGGACTTGTGATTCAATTGGGTCAAAGATGTCTTCTAACAAGGAGTGTTTGCATTTTAGGCGAAACTAAATCTATCAATCCTGGAAGACATTAAAGATGATGTTGACTTCTGTATCAAGCTGGCTACAGAGGAGTCCGTTGTTGTTCTTCCAGGTAAAAAAAGCATACAATTTAGCTTCTAAAGTAGTTTAACCACAAGACTAACAATTGTTTCCTATTATTGAAAACATAAAAAAGGAAGTTGACATAGAGAACTTGTTTGGCAAATTGTTTCCAAAACTGTTTTTTGAAAATTAATTCTGCACAAAATGGAAATGACAGGTGTTTCAAATTTTTCATTGTTTTGTTCTGAAAACACAAAAAATTAAATCGAAAAACGAAACCGTTGAAAACGAAAATGATATTAAAAAGACCTTTTGATGTTATTTCATCATCCATCTGACACATGTTCATTTGCCCGTAATTATTTTCCTATGGAATATGGTTCTAAATATCTTAATCTTCCAGGTTTTTGAGGGTTTAGGATCTATGAGCATATTCATTTCTTGTGTGAATCTGTTTGTTGATTCCAATTGATTTCTATCTGAGAGCTAGGACTAGTTAGTCCTCATGCAATTGTTTAGAGCCATGTTAACAACAACAAAAAAAGTGTCATGTACATATGTGTTTATCCCACGAAACCAAAAAGGGTATGATTTTAGCCGATGACTACAAAAGATATTGTTCTGTGCTCATTTTCCTTGATCAACAGAGATGCCTTGGAAAGCTTCTCCTTTTGTATAGCAATTTTGTAGGTTGATCCTAATACAGTTGGTTTTCTGTTAAATTTTCAATGTTCAATTAAACTAGGGAAAATTCCATTTAAGTGGGAACAACTCAAAGGAATTGCACTTTCATAAAGCTGGAGCAAGTGAGAGTTGTGTTTCGTGCTAAAATATTGAGCTTCCCCCCAAATGTTGATTTCTGCATAGCAGCGTCTGAAACTTTTATTTATTTATTCTTTAATGGTCTTAAATACATTTGAAAAGAACATCAAGGTTGGAGTTGAGATGCTTGGATTTTGACCATTTTGGACATCATTTGCACACAAAATCCCTTCAATTTGAGGAAAATTTTGAAAGAATGTATGCTTATGAATTCAGACAACCTTGCCTCCATGGTGATGACAGAAACACTTGTTTCGGTACACAACTACAAGAGTCATTTATTCAAAGTTCAGCAGAAAATATGACAACCAAGCATTGCATGCAAAATTGTACTGCAAGGACAGTATTTAAATCACTGGTTTCACTCTTGCTCCTTGTAACAATGTGTTGCTATAATTTAATTTTAATGTACCTCAAAGAGTGTTTAGTTCTCATCTACTTCTCGAACTGTGAATTTTGAGAGGTAGCTTATCACAATTAATCCAATTAATCCTTTGACATCTGATAACATCCATTGTTTGCAGGGGTTGCTGTAGGAATGAAGAATTGGGTCCGTGTAACATTTGCCGTTGAGCCATCATCACTTGAAGATGGCCTTGGGAGGATAAAAGCTTTCTGCCTAAGGCATGCCAAGATGCAATAAGATGATGTTGTTTGGTATCCTCTCCAGTAACTGAGGAATTCTGTTTCATCTCTTTGGCTAGTGTAGAGATTTCGACCGCGTGATGTGGGTGATTAGTGCTTGCTGATCAACACGCACGCTTATTTTTAAAATTTGGCATAATAATAATGTGCTTGTTCCACAGCACTATTGTTGTAAGTATAATTAGTTACTCTAAGCCATAAATTTCTCTGTAAAAACTTTGGATCTCATGCTTCCCCTCATGTTTAATATATACATATATATATCCTATTTATTTCCTTAGCATTGGAAGTGTGGTGGCTAAACTTTGTTTCAGTATGTGTTTGTTTTCAAAGCTTAAAATTTGGGTAAATTACAAATTATTCCATGTAGTTCTAGAAATTACATTATGCCCCTAAGGTTTTAATTTCATAACAAATAGGTTCTTTCATTAATAAATCATCAAGTTAATTAACAATTTTTAATAATGTTAAAACTTTATTTCAATTAATAATTAAGATAATTTTATTATTATATAGGTGAACAGTTAGAAATTTCATTTTTTTAATTAATTCTGTTAAATAAAAAATTATGACAGGAAGGTATTTGTAATTTTTCAAACCACAGGGGGTAATTTGTATTTTAAGCAAACCTCAAGGAGTGCATTTGTAATTTAAAATTTCCGAGCTCGAATTTGGCCCGAATTCAAAATAACGTCGTTTCGTCGTTTTGATTTTTTTTTTTCCAATAATTGGCAGAAGAAGAAAAGAAGAATAAAGAAGAAGAAGAAGAAGAAGAAAGAAGAGAAGAGGAGAGTAGCCGAGAGAGAGAGAGAGAAAGAATCATCATCATCATCAACCACCCAACAAGCCATTTATCTTCAAATCTTCATCAACAACCATTTATCTTCAGAACCAGAACATCTTCATCATCAATAACATCTTTATCAACATCACCATTATCATCATCAACACATTTTCAGATCCAGATCCACTAGAAAAAAAAAAAAAAACCGGGCTGGGCTGCGATGATCGGGGGCGGAGGCGAAGGCGACAGCGATCGACCCTCTCTCTCTCCATTCCCTCTTCCCCTCTCTTCTCTTTCTCTCTCTCTCTTTCTCTTTCTCTTCCTCTTCTTCTCTCTTCTCTCTCCTCTCTCTGCTTCAGAAGATATAAGGAGGAAAAAAGAAAAAAAAAAAGAAAAGGAAAAAAAAAAAAAAAAAAAACGACATCGTTTTAGGCAGTCGGGGGATTCGGGGAAGAAAGATTCGAGTTAGGAAGGATTATTCTTTTTGTTTATAGTGTTTTTTATTTGTATTTTTAGTTAATATTTTTAAAATTTTAAGTAATTTTTTTACTTTTTTAGATGCACGTTATTTAGATGTATCTAAAAAGTAAAATATTTATGAAAAAATATTTTAAAAAATTAATAAATACACAAAATATAAAAAATATACTGAATTTTCATATTTTTGGTATTTAGTGAATTTTGTAAAGATTTTTTTCATGAAAATTATACTTTTTAAATGTATTTATGTTAAGTGTGTCAAAAAATTAAAAAAATTACTTAAAATATTAAAAAAATTTAGTAAAAACATAAAATTATGAAAAATAGGAAAATAAAATTCTCTAAAAAGTGTTTTAAAAAAAACTGGAAAAAAGTGATTACCGACCTTTCTAATTTTTTTTTACATCTTTACATAAAAAAACGTTAAAAAATACGTTTGAATCATCCAAACCACCCCTTGGTATAATTTTTATTTGGTAATCAGGGTCTCAAAATATTTTTTATTCAAAGATACTCCACTCCACTGTGTCAACCAGAGCCATACTGTTTCTGGAACTAGTCTCCCTGTTTGGCCACTCCAAAAAAGCCCTAAAAATTTTCAACCAGTACAGTACAGTACAGCTCCACCAGCAGAAGAAGAAGAAGAAGTGGAAAATGGAGGAGGAGGAGGAACAATCGACAAAGTGGCGTTTCAAGGGAAGCGAAGAGCTGATCAAAGCATCGGCGTTCACCATCAAAGGCGTTGTATCGATGCTATCGAAGAATCTCAGTGAAGATGATAACAGGCCAGTTATTCGCCTCGGCCACGGCGACCCCTCCGCCTCGCGCTGCTTTCTGACCACTCCCATTGCCGAAGACGCCATTGTTGAAGCTGTTCGACCTGCTCAATTCAACTCTTATGCCCCAAATGTCGGTATTCTTCCCGCCAGGAGGTAAAAATCAAAATTATACTATATATATGAAACCTAATTATTATTATTATTATTATTATTATTTAATGCTTGTGTTTCTTTTTCATTGCTTTTCAATATTAGCTTATCTTACATACAATATTTTGATTTTTTTGCAAAATTTTGTTTCTATGCTTGTGCTTCCTTTTCATTTATCGACATTATGATTCACTTCAATTTTCTGTTTATTTATTATAATACCATCAAAATTACTTTTTAAGAATAAAAATTATGGGAGTACACAAAACCCCCAAACAAAAGTCGTTTTTTTTAAACATTTTACCAAACACCTATTGAATAATAGCTAAATTTTGTGAGATTTTTAAATTTAACAAAATTGAAAGAACGGAGGGGAAAAAAAAAAAAAAGTTGAGTGTAACAGTGATACCAGGTCATCCTTATCACCATCCAATCCCTTCTTACCATTTACCATACCATGTATACGTGGCAATGTAGATATTTATTGAAGGTGGGGTTCACTCGTCATATGTAAGCTTTTTGTTGGTTGGTGGTATCACCGTGAATTTTTACTCAGCTGGAAAAAAAAAAAAGAAAGACACTTCTTTAATTTTCTAGTGGTGGGAGGGGGTTGAGGGGAAAGGTTGAGAGAGAGAGAGAGAGAGAGAGAGAGAGAGAGAGAAGAATGAAGAGAGGGAAGGGTAAGGATTGTATTTGTATCTAGTATATCCTGGTTGCTAACATACACATTGGTAGGGGAGAACTAGGCAGAGAGCCCATTAAGTTAGTGACCTTTCATCAGATCGGCAAATGGGGATACAAATAGGGCATCTTTTTCCAAGGAAATTTGTATGAATGGAAATTGCTTATCGAAAAAGAAGAAATTTGATTGAATGGAAAATCATACATTGGGATGATGGTGCCCTGTGCTGTCCATTCTTGCCAGCAATCAATAGGAATTCTGATGGTTAATAGATGAGCATCATTCTGTTAAGAACAGTTATTTGAGTGGGATGTCAAACATTATGGTAGAGGCATTCTTTGACTTTTGTTCTTACCAGAAGTCAAAATTCAAATCCCAAGGGATTGGCTAAGCGGTAAAGACTTGAGGATAAAATTCAAGGTTTTGTGTTTGAGTCTCTCAAGTTGGCCCGGTTATTAACTTCAGGGCTTCCAGGGATTAGTTCTCGCTGTCCAGATACGATGTAACTTCTGTCCAATTAGGCTGGGTTGGATGGGAGATACCCTGGATTATCGAAAAGAAATTCAAAATTCCATGGTCAACTGCTGAGTTATTTTACTTCTTCTAGGATCTAGAATTTTAGTCCTCGTGAGATTCTGCTGCTAATCAAGTCCAAGGATGAAATGAACATATGTTTTCTCTATGAGGGAGGTGACCTGGCCGGTGCTGACAGAGATTCTAGTGTCTAACTAACTGGCTCCCCACACTTAAAAGCAGGGCCTTCTAGATGATCTACTAATGGACCTTGTGAAGCCCATGTGATTTTACTCAAACCATTGACAGCCATGTTCGCTAATCTGTCACAAATTATTATTATTCTTTCTTCCTTCCATGATGAGCCTCTTAATATTTGTACTAAGCAAAGATGCTAAAGATGGGATAAAGCAGTCCCCCTTCTTTTCTCTTAACCATCAAACCAATGACATTTCTTTCATGCTTGGTGTGACATAGATTATTGTTTAGCTATTACAAATGCCATGATACAAGAAATTTAATGCTATTACAGCCCTGGCAGCGTTCTTGCTGAGGGTGTACTCCTCTTTGATGCATTCTTGCATTTAGGCACTTGGCTGATCTGCTCTTTGTTCTGATTGATCATTGCTTAATTTTTTGTATCCTGTTCTTATTCTACTGTTTTCATGGTTTAATAATTGAGGTGGGTTGTACTTCTTGTGTTCAACTACAAGACGTAAACATAATAAGCTCATTCATGATCTGTAGTTTATTAGATTTTACTTGTTAAATATGTGTACTTGTTTCATGTTTATACTAGGTCTGTTGCAGAATATCTTTCTCGTGATCTTCCATATAAATTATCACCGGATGATGTTTATCTTACTGTTGGCACCAAGCATGCAATTCAAATCATATTGCCAGTCCTTGCATACCCTGGTGCAAATATGTTACTTCCTAAACCAGGGTATCCAATGTATGAAGCTCATGCTACACTAGCCATCTTGAAGTCCGCCACTTTGATCTTCTTCCAGAAAAGGGTTGGGAGGTTGATCTTGATGGTTTAAGAGCTCTTGCAAATGACAAAACTGTTGCCATGGTTATAATCAATCCAGGCAATCCCTGTTGCAATGTTTTCACATATGAGCATTTACAAAAGGTAGAATATATTTTTTTGGGGGAATGAAGAATGTAACTAGTAATTGTTGCTATGGTTTTGAAGTTAGTGGTTGTTAGTGTGACAATTTTTTTTTTAGGTTGCAGAGACTGCAAGAGAACTTGGGATTTTAGTGATTGCAGATGAAGTTTATGGCCATCTAGCTTTTGGAAACACCCAATTTGTGCCAATGGGAGTGTCCGCATCAACTGTCCCCATTGTTACACTTGGGTCTATATCAAAGAGATGGATTGTTCCTGGTTGGCGCCTAGGTTGGATAGTGACAAGTGATCCCAATGGCGTCCTTAAAAAATCTGGGGTTTCCTCTCTTCACACTTTTTTGTTTCCCTTTTATAATTTATATGCTATAAAGTTATTTATTAACTGAACCTGAGGTTAGGTCAAGTGGTTGCAAGGGGAGATTCGGGGTTTGAGCTTGTAAAGAAGCATTGAATGCCCATTTGTAGTAATAATCTAACCTAACCTGCTAACATCCTACCTTTGGCAAACAATAAAAGTATTTATTAACCGACTTGGGCTAGCCTAGTTGGTCAAAACCCCTCACTAGGAGGTCTCAATTGCATCTCACCCAGGCTAAGGGACCTCCAATGGACCAATTTTTTTTTTTTTATATTTATTTATTATAAAATGCTGAAAGAGTTAGATCAAATTATTGTTTTTTTAGACATTAGTCCCTTAGATATCCCATGAAAAACAAAGAGAGTGATTATGTGAATTCATCCCTTAGATAT